CCCAACCCTGCAGTGTCCTTTCTGGTTACTTGATAACCCATCTCTGGTGATTTTTGAGGTCATGTTATAATATGCTTTTGCCTTAACAAGATGTCCCCCATTAAACCTTCCACTGACAGCTCATTTAAAATTACTATGGCATCACTTGGGCTACTCCCTATCTGCTCCGGTGAAGTTGCCTGCGCAGGGGCGGCCATAGACTAGCAGCCAGCAACTGGTGCCCTAGGCAAACCATGCAATCGGCACCCCCACCTCCAAATCCCACAACGATATTGGGCCACCATTTGGTGCCCCATTTAACTTGGCGCCCTAAGCGACTGCCTAGTTCGCCTATATGGACGGGCCGCCCCGGTGGTCAAACATTATGTAACAGGTCTCTTAGCTGGCTAGCCTAAATTGAAACATACACTTTACATTTGGAAATGTCCAGTCTCTCTGGATAGACCAGTCATAAGGGATGGGATTTGGGACAAAACAAGCATCTTGGCTGGAGATTTTGTGGAATGTACTAAGCTGAGGTCAACAGGGAGTGAAATCACAAGACAGTAAACTGTGCTCCTAGCCTAGGTGAAAAGGCAAACAAAAAAAAAAATGCTGATTGGAATGCCTTATGCATCAATGCACTTGCAATGCTTTGTGTCTATATATGATAGGACATTTTAGCAGTGGGCAGAGGGATAGCTTAGTGCTTTATGCATTGGCTTGCTAAACCCACGGTTGTGAGCTCAATCCTTGCAGAGGCCATTTAGGGCAAAAATTTGTCAGGGATGGTACTTGGTCCTGCTGTGAAGATGGAAGACTGGACTCAATGACCTTACAGTTCTAGGAGACAGCCAAATTTGTAATGTAACGCTATTGACTTTCAATAAATTATACCTGGGATGAAGTCAACACAAGTTCCTTAGCTCAGATTCACCCAACCAAAGCAAACTGAATAATTTCTCCCTAACATGGTTTGGAATCAACATGTGCTGTAGCTATGTACAATGAGCTTCCAAACTCAGTCCCATGATCCACAGCGTCTTAATTTATAAGTCTAGCAGAGACCACTGTAAACATAGATTCATAGGAGATTAGGGGTGGAAGAGACCTCTGGAGGTTATTTATTCCAACGCCCTGCTCCAAGCAGGATGAACCCCAGCTAAATCATTCCAGCCAGGGCTTTGGCAAGCCTGCCCTTAAAAACATCTAAGGATGGAGAGTCCACTGCCTCTCTAGGCAACATATTCCAGTGCGTCACCACCCTCCCAGTGAAATAGTTTTCTTTCCCAGTGCAATTTGAGACCATTGCTCCTTGTTCTGTCATCACTGAGAAAAGCCTCTCTTCATCCTCTTTGGAATTCCCCTTCAGGTAGCTGAGGGCTGTTATAGCCCTGGGTAAACTGTTCCAATAGTCGATTACCCTCATTGTTAAATAATTGTGCTTTATTTCCTGTCTCAGTTATGTCTAGATTTAGCCTCCAACCATTGGATCTTGTTATGCCATTGTCTGCTAGACTGAAGTGTCCACTGTAGGGCTATGTCTACACTCGCGGCTTCTTGCGCGAGTAATATGCAAATGAGGCTAAGCGGTGAATATCACTGAGCCTCATTTGCATACCTAATGAACCACCATTTTTTTCAGAAGAGTCTCTTGCGCAAGAAGGAGCATCTACACTGCCCCTTCTTGCACAAGAAAAACGCTCTTGCGCAATGCTGTTCTTCCTGAAAAGTAATGGGTGGAACGGCATTGTGCAAGAGGGTTTTTCTTGAGCAAGACGGGGCAGTGTAGACGCTCCTTCTTGTGCACGAGCCTCTTCTGAAAAAACTGGTGGCTCATTAGGTATGCAAATGGGGCTCAGCGATATTCCACGTTTAGCCTCATTTGTATATTACTCACGCAAGAAGCCGCGAGTGTAGACATAGCCTAGGTGTTTATGTTCTGTGAGCAAGTCACTTGTTAAACTAAATAGCTTGAACTCCTGCATCTATCACTCTACAGCAGGTTTTTCAACTCCTTAATTATCACAGTTCTTCTCTGAACTCTCTCCAGTTTATTAATATCCTTCTTGACTTGTGGACTCTAAAACTGGACGTATTGATGTAGTGTACTGTGTATGTTCATGCAATTAACTCAAAGCACCAGTTTCTAGCAAGTGAGCTGGCTGGAAAAAAAATATTTTGAACTTTTTTGGTGGAGAAAAAGGGGCACATTTTTGCTAACATACACAAAACAGGTAGCTCATCAGGGTACTATTGGGTTCCAACAGCATATGGATATGCCAAAATGGCACACAGTTCATGAAGGGAATCGCCAATTTTAAAGCCTTCATGGTTGGGGGGTCTGTCAAAGTTGTTCCCCACTCTGGCATGACAAATGCAGAAGTGGGGGCCCGCAAGAGCACCCCAAAACCTTGTCTTTACAGGCTTTGGTACAAAAACTTCCCCCCTAATATCCGGATTTTGGGAAATCCGCTGCCACCACCCAAGTAAGTCCAAGAAACCAGGGAAGAGATCACTAGGGAAACCTCCTCCCTAAGGTAAAACTCTCCCCTGCCCCAACATCTGTTTTGCTTGGAGTCGGGAAAAACAGAGGGGACACAAAAAATCAACCAGTACTGATTAATTTAAAAAAACCCAACTTTTATTATCACATCAAAACTACAGTTACAAACATAGCAAAGTGGCTAGATGGGAAGAGCCACCAATTGATATTCTCAGGGAACCCCATGGGTTAAAACTTAGTTACAGAGGAAGACCAAACACTTAACCAGTTCAGACATTAGTTCCAAATTCCCAAACCAGGAAAACAACAAAATCTGATGGACTACCTAAACTTTTCCCTACTTAAACATTGTAAGAAGTCCATTTTTGGAGAGAGAAGTGCCTTCCATCTCCCTTTATACCTGGAAGAAACGGCTCTGCTTTTCAGACCAAGGAGGGAAAGATAAAAACTCCTTTGACCCAGTTTAAAATTCCTACCTGCATTGTTACTGGCTGACCAGATACCTGGCTAGGAACAAAGTTAACCCCTTAGTCACCAGGTGCTGGTCAGCACTCCTGATTATGACAGAGTCTGACATAGTTGGTTTTCTACTAGAGTCATGACCATAGTAGTCAGCAGGAGAGCTCAGCTTCAGTTGCTGCATTCCCCAGCACCTTCTGTCCTAAGCAAACAAAATAAATCCAGTTTACTCCAATCCCATCCTCAATTGTTGTTTTTTCTGTGCCCTCCCAAAGCATCAATTAGACTGAGGCTTTTTATAGCCCTCTGTTCCTGTGCGTGCAGTAACCGACAGGAGGTGCGACAGAAGGCTGCTCTACGAATGCTGTGGGATGTCAGAGCACCCACCAGGCCTTGCAGGGAGAGAGAAGGCATCAGCTCTGCATGGCCAGCATTGCATAAGTTGACCTATAGATCAGGATCCCTGCTTCCCATCAGGGTGGAAAGGTTTGTGGGTGGGAAATTGGCACCGGCTTCCATGGAGAGGCCTCCTTCTCCCAAAGAGCTCCCACCTGAGAGGTCACCTCCTAGAGCTACAGAATGCTTCCCTTTTCAGAGACAGCTCCCTGGTGTTTATGAGCACCACTCTTCCATGGCTGATCCCCTCATGTATATCTCTCTCCACCTCTGCTGTTAAGAGTTGGCAAGGGTTGGCTGAGAGCTGTGCAAGGCTGAAGAACCCCAACCATAAGTAGGAAGGTCAAAGTGAATGGCATGGGAAAACGGGATGGCATGCTTTGCCTTTGGCGAGGTCTACACCAGGGGAGAAGGTATGTGAATGGTGTAGCCTGAGTTGACGTACCAGAGATTGAATTTCCATGGCGTCTCCACCGTGAGAAGTTGATGAGAGAAACTCTCCCAGGGTATGTCTACACTACCTTCCTAGTTCGAAGTAGGAGGGTAATGTAGGCATACCGCACTTGCAAATGAAGACCGGGATTTGAATTTCCCGGGCTTCATTTGCATAAGCGGGGAGC